AAATTCTGGATCAAGATAAGGATGCCGACTCGCACCACTTCTATTCAACCCAATATTGGAAGTCCTAGCAACAGCAATCAGACAAGAAAAAGAAATAAAATATATCCGAATTGGAAGGTAAAATTGTCACTATATGCAGATGATATGATACTATATATAGAAAACCCTAAAGACTCCACACAAAAACTACTAGAACTGATAAATGAATTCAGCAAAGTATCAGGATACAAGATTAACACTCAGAAATGGACTGCATTTCTTTACACTAACAATGAAATATCAGTAAGGTAATGTAAAAAAAAAAAAAACCCGTAGCTTTTAAAATCACACCAAAGAAAGTACCTAGGAATAAACCTGACCAAGGAGATGAAAGACTTATACACTGAGAACTACAAAACATTAATAAAGGAAATTAAAGATGACTCAAAGAAATGGAAAGACATGCCATGCTCTTGGATTAGAAGAATTAGTATTGTTAAAATGGCAATACTGTCCAAAGCAATCTACAGATTTAATGTGATCTGTATCAAATTACTCATGACATTTTTCACAGAACTATAACAACCCTAAAATTTATATGGAACCATATAAGACCCATAATTGTGAAAGCAATCCTGAGGGAAGAAAAAAAGCAGGAGGCATAACCTTCCCAGACTTTAGACAATACTACAAAGTTCCTATAATCGAAACAGTGTGGTATTGGTACAAAAACAGACATACGGATCAATGGAACAGACTAGAGAGCCCAGAAATAAACCCACACACCTATGGTCAATTAATCTTCGACAAAGGAGGCAAGAATATAAAATGGGAAAAAGTCTCTTCAGCAGGTGGTGCTAGGAAAGTTGGACAGCTGCATGTAAATCAATGAAGTTAGAACACAGCCTCAAACCATGCACAAAAATAAACTCAAAATGGCTTAAAGACTTAAAACATAAGACATGACACCATAAAATTCCTAGAAGAGAGCACAGGCAAAACATTCTCCGACATAAATCATACCAATGTTTTCTTAGGTCTGTCTCCCAAGGTAATAGAAACAGAAACAAAAATAAACAAATGGGACCTAATCAAACTTACAAGCTTTTGCACAGCAAAGGAAACCAGAAACAAAACAAAAAGACAAGCTATGGAATGGTAGAAAATATTTGCAAATGATGTGGCTGACAAGGGCTTAATCTCCAAAATATACAAACAGCTCACACAACTCAACAAAAACAAAATAACCGAATCAAGAAGTGGGCAGAAAGGGCTTCCCTGGTGGAGCAGTGGTTAAGAATCCGCCTGCCAACGCAGGGGACATGGGTTCGAGCCCTGGTCCGGGAAGATCCCACATGCAGTGGAGCAACTAAGCCCATGTGCTGAAACTACTGAGCCTGCCTGCGCTCTAGAGCCAGCAAGCCACAACTACTGAGCCCGCATGCCACAACTACTGAAGCCTGCGTGCCTAGAGCCTGTGCTCGGCAACGAGAAGCCACCGCAGTGAGAAGCCTGCACACCACAACGAAGAGTAGCCCCCGCTCGCCGCAACTAGAGAAAGCCCACGCGCAGCAATGAAGAGTCAACCCAGCCAAAAATTAATTTTTTTAAAGTGAGCAGAAGACCTAAATAGACATTTTTCCAAAGAAGACATACATATGGCCAATAGGCACATGAGAAGATGCTCAACATCACTATTAGAGAAATGCAAATCAAAACTACAATGAGGTACCACCTCACACTGATCAGAACGGCCATCATTAAAAAGTCTACAAATAACAGGGCTTCCCTGGTGGCGCAGTGGTTGAAAGTCCGCCTGCCGATGCAGGGGACACGGGTTCGTGCCCCGGTCTGGGAAGATTCCACATGCCACGGAGTGGCTGGGCCCGTGAGCCATGGCCGCTGAGCCTGCGCATCCGGAGCCTGTGCTCCGCAACGGGAGAGGCCACAACAGTGAGAGGCCCGCGAACCACAAAAAAAAAAAAAAAAAAGAAAAGAAAAAGAAAAAAGTCTACAAATAACAAATGCTGAAGAGGATGTGGAGAAAAGGGAAACCTCCTACACTGTTGGTGGGAATGTAAATTGGTATAGCCACTATGGAAAACAGTATGGAGGTTCCTCAGACAACTAAAAATAGAATTACCATATGATCCAGCAATCCCACTCCTGGGAATATACCCAGACAAAAATATAATTCAAAAAGATACATGCACCCCTATGTTCATAGCAGCACTGTTCACAACAGCCAAAACATGGAAACAACCTAAATGTCCACTGACAGATGAATGGATAAAGATGTGGTACATATATACAATGGAATACTACTCAGCCATAAAAAAGAATGAATAATACCATTTACAGCAACATGGAGGCAACCAGAGATTATCATACTAAGTGAAATAAGTCAAAAAGAGAAAGACAAATACCACATGATATCACTTACATATGGAATCTAAAATATGGTACAAATGAATGTATGTAGAAAACAGAAACAGACTCACAGACATAGAGAACAGACTTGTGGTTGCCAAGGGGGAGGAAGGTAGGGGAGGGATGGACTGGGAGTTTGGGGTTAGTAGATGCAAACTATTACATACAGAATGGATTAACAACAAGGTCCTACTGTATAGCACAGGGAACTATATCCAATATCCTGGGATAAACCATATAACTGAGTCACTCTGCTATGTAGCAGAAATTAACACTGTAAACCAACTATACTTCAATTAAAAAAAAGCAGATCAGGATTGCTTGGGGATGGGAGTGGGGAATAGAGAGGATTACTTTACAAAGGGGGAGGAGGAACTTTGGGGGTTGATGATTTCACGGGTGCATTCATATATCAAAATTCATCAAATAGTACATTTTAAATATGTGCTGCTTATTATATGTTAATTATACTTCAATAAAGTTGTAAAATATATTTTAAAAGATAAAACACTGTTAAAGGAAACTGAAGATGATTCAAAGAGATGGAAAGATATCCCATGCTCTTGGATAGGAAGAATTAATATTGTTAAAATGGCAATACTACCTAAAGCAAACTACAGGTTTAATGTGATCCCTATCAAATTACCCATAACATTTTTCACGGAACCATAACAAATAATCCCAAAATTTATATGGAACCATAAAAGACCCAGAATTGCCAAAGCAATCCTGAGGGAAAAAAAATAAACAAGTAGGAGGCATAACCCTCCCAGACTTCAGACAATACTACAAAGCTCCCGTAATCAAAACAGTGTGGTATTGGTACAAAAACAGACATACAGATCAACAGAACAGACTAGAGAGCCCAGAAATAAACCTACACACCTACAGTCAACTCATCTTTGACAAAGGAGGCAAGAATATAAAATGGGAAAAAGTCTCTTCATCAAGTGGTGTTGGGAAAGCTGGACAGCCTCATGTAAATCAATGAAATCAGAACACGTCTTCAAGCCATATACAAAAATAAACTCAAAATGGTTTAAAGACTTAAATATAAGACATGACATCATAAAATTCCTAGAAGAGAACACAGGCAATACATTCTCTGACATAAATCGTAGAATATTTTCTTAGATCAATCACCCAAAGGAAAAGAAATAAAAGCAAAAATAAACAAATGGGACCTAATCAAGCTTAAAAGCTTTTCCACAAAACAAAAAGACAACCTTATGGAATGGGAGAAAATATTTGCAAATGATGCAACCAACAAGGGGTTAATTTCCAAAATATACAAACAGCTCATACAATTCAATATAAAAAAAACAAACAACTCAATCAAAAGACAGGCAGAAGACCTAAATAGACATTTCTCCAAAGAAGACATAAAGACAGCCAACAGGCACATGAAAGGATGCTCAACATTGCTAATTATTAGAAAAATGCAAATAAAAACCACAATGAGGTATCAACTTACACAAGTCAGGATGGCTATCATCAAAAAGTCTGCAAATAGGACTTCCCTGGCAGTTCAGTGGTTGGGACTCTGAACTTCCACTGCAGGGGACGCAGGCTCAGTCCCTGGTCGGGGAGCTAGGATCCTGCATACCACATGGTGTGGCCAAAATAAATGAATAAATTTAAAAAAAATTTTTTTAATGTCTGTAAATAATAAATGTTGGACAGGATGTGGAAAAAAGGGAACCCTCCTTCGCTGTTGGTGGGAATGTAAATTGGTGCAGTCACTATGGAGAACAAACAGTATGAAGGTTCCTTAAAAAACTAAAAGTAGAAAATAAAATTAAAAATAGAGCTACCATATGATCCAGCAATCCCACTTCTGGGCATACATGCAAAAAACACAAAACCTTAACTCCTAATTCGAAAAGATACATGCACCCCAATGTTCACTGCAGCATTATTAACAATAGTCAAGACATGGAAACAACTTAAATGTCGATCAACAGATGAATGGATAAAGAAGATGTGGTATATATATACAATGGAGTATTACTCAGTTATAAAAAAGAATGAAATATTGCCCATTTGCAGCAACATGGATGGACCTAGAGAATATCACAGTAAGTGAAGTCAGACAGAGAAAGCAAATATTATATGATATCACTTATATATGGAATATAGAAAATAATACAAATGAATCTGTTTACAAATCAGAAACAGATTCACAGACATAAAAAACAAGCTTATGGTTACCAAAACAGGAAGGGAGTCGGGGGGAAGGATAAATTAGGAGTTTGGGATTAACAGACACACACTATTCTATACAAAATAGATAAGCAACAAAGATTTACTGTATGACACAGGGAACAATATTCAATATCTTGTAATAACCTATAATGAAAAATAATCTGAATAAAAAATAATACATATATATGTAACTGAATCACTTTGCTGTATACCCAAAACTAACACAAAATTGTAAACCAACTACACTTCAATTTTAAAATAATAGTAATAATAACCGTTCCTCATTATTAAGTACCGACAATGTGCCAAGTTCTGTGCTGAGAATTTTCCACCCATCATCTCGTTTAAGCCTCTGTAACAACCCAAGAGGTAGCCATTCTTCTTACCTGCGTCTCAGAGGAGGAAGCAGCTTTGAAGAGGGCATATAATTCCTGTGGTGGAGCCAGGAGCCAATTCCCTCCTCACTGACTGAAGAAACCAGTTTAACCACTCTTATCGGTCAGGATGCTTTCAGCTACAAGTAAAGAGTGCCTCTTAAAAGTGGCTTAGGGGCTTCCCTGGTGGCGCAGTGGTTGAGAGTGTGCCTGCCGATGCAGGGGACACAGGTTCATGCCCCGGTCCGGGAGGATCCCACATGCCGC